ATAAAAAATGGAGGATAATGTAGCTTTCTAATGGAAAAATAGTTTTTGGAAATAGTTTAATATTTTTGGTTTAGAGTTATTTAATATATGTTAAGATTGCCAATTAAAACAGAATTATCAGTTATAATAATCTAGATTTATTAGACTTCAAAACCAACAATGCTGCAAATCGGAAACCGCCAAGTCGTTAGTTTATTGATTTCAAAACAAGCTCCTAAACAAAGACAATATCTGACTCATTATATTTCTATTAACAAATGAGGTTTGCGCAATCTCAGTTAGAAAGTGGACAATGAGTCCAGTGGCATCCGAAAATGGTATACATTACCTTTTTAGTAGTTTACTATTCAATTTTCATGATTTAATATAATTTTCAATCACTTAATATAAATTTGTTCCAATAAAATACGTTAAATGTACTCAATATGTAAATGGTCCTTCGAGCAGGATATTTTTGGAAATTTTATTACTATAACTCATTTAATTTTCATAAAGAAAATTCCTTTAAAAGTTGTTTATTGATTTGTCCATAATTCTTTAAGTCCCTTTCTCTTAACCGCACTTTTCTTATAAGGAGAGGTTGGGAAGAGAAGGTGGATTAGACGGTGGAGGAGATGCATAGGAAGGGGAAATATCCTCTTTATGTGCGTCTCCTCCTCCGTCGTATAAGGGTAGGCAACGCATCTGCAATTGCGGAAGTCTATGGGCAGCGTTGGCTCCGCCATTTTGGCGATTTCAGGTGGCCGCTTGCTCGTTTGCCACCTCATGTTATAAAAAAAAAATTCGACATCTCTAAATTTTTTTATTCACAAACGAAGTAAATGCTCTTTTAACTTTTTTTATACAATTGTTAAAACTTATAGCACAATGAGATCCAGATAAATAACGTTGAACAAAAAGTACTATCATCTAAGTAAGCAATGCTAATGAGAGGTGATTTACCGATAGGGTCGGCAGCTCAAGACGCAGCTCGTTAGGATTTCAGAAGAGTTTTGCTTGCACCGTACAATTAGCCGCTTATCAGATGTACTGGTACCGAATGCGTTAAACGGTAGTTAGTGATTATTATTAAATGCGGCGGAGAATAAAGGTAACGCCCACGCGCTATTGACTTGTATGTCATAACGTGGACATGCCCTACTTTATTGACGTTTATTTAATATGTCAGCGTATATTCATTTAGGGTTACAAAGGCACCGCCTACGTGTGTTTGTTAGTTGGTATAAGGCAATGTATTATATTGGTGACACTGCTGCTTGTTTGACATGTAATTACACACTTTAACTGTAATATAAATGATGGATTTGAATGTTCAGTATTTTCAATAGAACATCAGACGATTTATTAAATTAATAATGTAATAATTAATACTTATGGAGCTTTTTTATCTTGTTATTACTTGGCCGGTTTAATCTTTTTTTTTTAATTTCTAAGCGAAACTCTGTAGGATTTAAAAGTAATGTTTAATTAATTACAGTCGTCACGCTTTTCTTAATCATTTATATATTCTATTCACTTTTTATGTTTACTTCTATTGATTATCAGTTTTCTATTATTAATGCTACAACAATGAGACGTATCCACACTAATCGTTCGTATATGTTTAAGTTCCGATTGTATCGAGAGCGCCGAAGCTTTGGGCATCATCCTTTGTGGGCATTTATTAACAATTGCCCCGCGATCCTCAGATATCGTCTAATTATCCTCATGAACATACACGCCGCCGCGGGTCTCCTTGACCTCGAATACAAATTGTCTAACTAAACTAAGATTTGTATTTTTGTATTCACGTAAAAACTACTAAGCTGATTTTAAAAATTCTTTCACCGTTAGATATGTAGTTTATGTGTGAAAAACATAGTGTTTTTTATTACTCTTTTAATTTTATGCGCAGGAAGTCGCAACTTACGATTCGCAAGCGACAGTTAGAAAACTATATTGGATACTATAAGATGGCGGTTATCTAAATCTACGGTGGCAAAATTCCAGTTGGCTGTAGAAATGTGTGAAAAGTTAGGAGTGCGAAAAATTGGTAGGTTTGTTGCGTCATTTAAAAAAAAACTAGCATTAAGACGGAAGAACCCTGGCACCTACAAAACGGGCCTAGAGCCTAGTGTAGGGACCAGGCGATCGACCACAATTGTGTTAAAACAAATTTTGTAACTTTATAAATAAATCTTTTTAAACCTTTTAAATTGTGATTTGTCTGTCTTTTAGATTTCATTTAGTTTTCAGATTTAAATGTAAGTCGCGAAATATTCCATCAAAAGTCTACATTTAATTATGTATTTCTTACAATTTTCTTTATATTCTCTGTTCCCATAAGTAATTATTGCTGAAAACTTTTCTTTCGTGTTTAAAAACTTATTTCAACTTTGCTTTATACTTGATTATGTATTCAGAAAGCGGTAAGGTTTTTGATACTTTGTAACACGTTAAAGTTATAATAAGTATCACTGCACGTGATATCGATTTATGGTGTAAGCAGAAATGCAGATGATTCTAAAAAATTAACAAAAAGCACGCGATCCGGCTACATATTTAACACTTTAAAAAATACTTATTATTTTTTTGTTTATACTGATATTATAAAGAAAAAAAAGTAATTATAACTAAAACACAATATCATGGATACACTTACAGGCTAACACAACATTATAATAAAAAATAAAAGTTTTACATGACAAAAAATTAAAAACTAAAACTAAACTCACTACAAAAAAGAAAAGTAACTTAATGTATACTCCTAAGGTGTGTGATCTTTACTGAAATAATATTTTTTAATGTTTGTATTTAATAGCTTCCCAAACTATTTTTTTAACTATTTCGCCATTAGCAACACTACCACTATAACATAGGCTATACCAAAATGTTACAACCCTATTCTATAAAATAGATTTGAATAGTGTTGTGCCTGAAAGTTATCGATAGATATTTTGATGTATTTGGTTATTTTATTCGGAATCGATAGTAAAGCTTCCGAGATCCGGATTACTTATGTACAAGGTATGAAATTGCAACGACCTTGACAGCGTTGTGCTCGAACAAATAATTAAAAAACCATCAAAATGTAAAATTAATTTGAAATCGGCCCTGTTAAAACAACAAATATGTAATGCGTAAATTAAAATAATCTATACTAATATTATAAAGAGGAGAGATTTGTGTTTTTGTATGCATTGGATTGGCTCGGGGGCTGCTGGGCCGATTTCAAATTCTTTCACCGTTGAAAAACAGCGTTCTTTTTGAGTAAAATAGTCTAAATTTTTTTTATTATTTTTCATATGCTATAAACTAAGCGACCAGTGGTCACACATAAATCCTGTGGGTTTCTGTACCACTTATAACGTCTCTTATTGTACTTTTAAATTTATGCTTTTGTCTAATAAATAAAAAAAAAAACAAAAATACGATTAGGGTTGACACTAACGACTTTTTTATGTATTGACATTTAAATGTACTCTGTTTTATTTCAAAGTAAAATATGTTAATTGCACATTCTCTTTGTTTTAAAATTCATTGATGGATTAAAAATATTACTAAGGTACACCCTAAAGGTTATCTTTTTTACTGATCCGAATATGCAAAAAGAATTAATTAAAATTGAGTATTTTTTTTATGAAATATATCGAATAGTAAAATAGAGTCTCTGAAAAAGTTTAAACCATAAATAGTAAAGAGGCGTGGCTTTATCTTGTTACAAATGATAATTTTATGATATATTTTCATTACTCTTATTGCAGGTGCATTGCCGACGATTGTTGATTCAAGTAGTTTTTTTCAGTTTTAATTTGTAGGCTTTTCTCATACATATCAGTATTAATATGCTTTAAGTTATAAATCATCTGTACATTAACTTATTTATGTAGTTTTCATGTTAATTAAATTGAAACAATAACATAAATATTATATTGACAATTAAAAATGATAACTTAAATTTAAACATACTTTATACTTATTATAAATGCAAAATTTTGTATGGATGGATATTAGTTACTATGTTTAAATCTATTCAACGGAATTAAAAAATTACACACATGTAGAACATAGTCTGAAAGAACACATAGGCTTACTTTTTTTTTTAATTACTATTATAATTATTATAATTGCGCGGATGCTAGTAAGTCATTTTATTAGGTAGTATTATAAATCTGTTTTTTATTGTTATTCAGAGTAGTATATTACATGTTCACGACACTCCAAAGTTAAAGAAGGAGGGCAATCAATTTCTTTTCCTCATAGACTTTTGTCAATTATAAAAAAAACAAATCGACTCTCAGACTCTAAATATTTGAAGAATCTAACGCGTGCTTAAATTTCTGTTTGCATTTTCTTTATAGTGATACCTTCTTTGATCGCGCCTACTGTGGACAGCACTATAGATAGCGCACATCTTAGATAGCCTAATTTTAAACATCGCTACCGGGTACCGACTTCCTACTTTTGGATTCATACGAACTGCCTGTCCTTTATAGGTGAAACAAAGAATATTTGTATTATACAAATTTAATTGATATTTTCGATTTTTCGAATTTTAATATGTACATAATTTACCCGACGTTCTAACAGAAAAGGGAAACATCGTGCAACCTGTACCTGTCGGCGAAGAAATTAAAAGATATGTGTGAAGTCAACCAACTCGCACTGGGCCAGAGTGCTTGACTATGGCCTAGTCAAACCTTACTCAGGGTGGGGCTTAACCCCTCGGTGGGGACATAAAGTGAGCTGGTGATGGTGATGAAAATTTATTTGAAGGCACTTTTGAAATACTCTTTGCGGTCTTCAGTTTTTTACTTAAGATGGTACCATGATAACAAGAATTTGTTCTACAACAGCTAAGCCCTTATGTATTTAAAAAAAAGTTTTATTTAAAATTTTAAAATCAAACTAAACATTAAGCACTTTAAAAAGAAAAGTTTCGTCCGGTTTTTTCCAGCTCTATGCACTTATTTTACAATTTGCTAGAAGTTTCCTTATGTTTTAATATATTCTTTTAACAGGAGGAGCCAGCGTCATCAGGAGACAGTGGTGATGAGAGCGGCAGCGAGCCAGACTCACCTGGGGACAAGAAGGCGCACGCGCATGACTGGATGCCTGCAGATAACCTCGAACGCATCAACAATAGGTATGTCTTATTGCTATTATACATAGTGGACCCGGGATGACATCTTTCGCTTGGTAGTATACGACGACCGTATACAAGACAGGGGTCAGGTGGAAGCTATACTGAAGTCTGATAAGGATGCCGGAAGTCTAGTTTTAGTCTCTTCATGGTAAAGATCCACCTTTTTTCCCACAAGGCAAGGATGGGAATTTGAATTGTCGGGAAGGGGACGCATAGGTAAAGGAAACATCTACTTTTATGCGTCCCTTCTGTTAATAAAGTCAGGTAACGAATCTGCAAATGCGGAAACGGACAACGGTCTCCTCGTTATTTTGGCGACTTACAGTAACCGCTGGCTCGTTTCTTTAAACTTAGATATAGTTATCTTTATTGTAAAATAACATATCTATTTTCTCTATTTCTTGAACAGGGAACTAACAAAGGATCATTTACCTTCAACCTCCACATCCAGCCAAGAACCGGAGAGCAGTAAATCCAGTCAATCACCATTGGCCAAAAGCATGCCAAAGATCAACCTACCAGGGGGTGCTATGCTCTACCACTCTGGCGTGTTGGCAGGCGTTGGCCTGGACGGACTCGGCACTAACTTAGGACTTGGCAACTTGGCAATGGGATACCCGCATAGTTTTATCTTAGGTCTTGCCAATCAAGGACAAGAAGGCGGTAAGTTATAACTTTAAAGCTCTATAGCTCAAACAGAAGGAAGTCTTTTCAAAGAATAACTTCTAAGTCTAACTTTTAGTTCTACATTAGCTTCTCTCTTGTTCTTAGCGTCGTCATCAGGGCAGCCACAGTTCATCACGATCCCGCTGTCGATGGCAATGGCGGCTGCTGGGGCTGGGGCCGGCGCTGCGGGGTCGGGGGCGGGCAGTAACGGCTGTCCTGCATCCAGCGATGACAGCAGTGAGTTACAGGACCTGACCACTACAGATAGAAAGGCGCTATAACTATAAAAATGGTAAAATATAAGACCTTTAATCAACTCATATAAGTAAGGACCCCAGGGACCATAGAGGTTGGGGACTGTAGGGGCTCTTTAAGTTAGGCGTGATTAGACCTTAGAAAATCAGTCTAGCATAGTGCAAGTTGGTTGACTTCCTGCTATCCGTCGCAGTGAGCAAGAGGTTCTGCAGTTCATATTTCTAGATATCGACATTCAATAGACATTTATACAAACCCACATATGTATTAGTGAGGCCCCGAAAGCTTAATTTTAATTCCTTATAAGATAAAGTAGATAAGATGTTGTAAGGGACGTAGGAAGGGGAAATATCCTCTTTATATGCGTCCCCTCCGTCGATTAAGGGTAGGCAACGCATCTGTGATTTTAGATGTCTATTTTTTGTGACTGAATGGCCACTGTTTGCCTTGAGGTGACCGAGCATAGATGGCGCTTAGCCTAAACCTCGATTATGAGTAACTATGATCAAGGGCTTCCTCGGGAGCCTCGGCTCGTGCCGTTACTTCATTATTATTACCGGATTAGGTCAGATGTCTATGGGCAGCTATTGTTTCTCTGTTTAATTCAGATTAGTTTTCTCATATAATAAAAATATTTGAACGTAGATTAAAGCATTGTCCTCCTGTTTATTAAATGTATTTTTGTTACAGATGCGAGCTGTTAGAAGCATTACTTAAACTTGAAAGTTAAACTCTTTATTTACCAAAGTATAGATGTTGATGCTAAGAAAAGTTAGCTTGTATTGTTTGTACGAAATGAATACTTAAAAATAACTGAATTCGTGTATTCCATAAAACGCTTGCCAACAATATACAATGTAAGAAAAACGAACAAGTCGCGTATACAAAATTTAATTTATTATAATTATGATAAGTCTTTGTAAACGTCGATTCTCACTGACAGAAAACTGATTAAAACATAAAGGTAACAAGACGTTTTTGTACATGTTTTTTGGCAGTGAAAATCCACGTTAATAATGGTTTGTAATAACATAGAGTATTTTTATACCAAAACGACTCTAATATTTTATTTATTTAATTCTATTTAAGGGGGCCGTCACATTTTATTTTACATATTTCATTTGAAAAAATATAAAAATATACAGACAAATTACTAACTTTCTCATTTAAAAGATAAAAGGTTTTTTTCATTAATATTCTTCAAAATAGACTATACCTACGAAATTTTTAACACGAAAACATTGTTTCTTGTTTCAAAAATATGTTAATTTGTATTCTAATAAGCATTGTTAATCTAATATTTGACTTAAACTTTTTTATCTCACTTTTTAATAACGAGTATTGGAAATATTTTTGAACTGTTTTGATATCGTAAAGCAAACTACATAAATCCGCTGGTTTTACTTCAACTATTTCTATTATTTCAGTAATTATTTTCTATTTAATGGTACTCAAATGTGTCGGTCTTTAATTTATGACCCATGTAATGAATATAGTTACATCTAGGGTTGTAACAGAGGCCATTTTAACGGATTCGGTTGCGGATGCCGAGGCGAAGGGCTTCATCTCAGAAGCGGAGATTAACGGAAGCGGAAACGGAGGTCAAGAATAAAATATTAATTGCGATTTATTAAAGAAATAAATACTAAAACTACGACAATTCAAAATACAGATTGGTTCATAATTACAAGGTACAGTTTATTATGATAATTTAATGTATAACATTTATAGTTAGTTGACGACACCTAATCGCCCCACTCGTGTTAAAGACGTAAATTAACCTCCGTTATAACTCCGCATAAGAAATAACGGAAGCGGATGCGGATGCGGAGTTATTACTTGCGATCCGCACTAGCGGATGCGAAAGCGGAGTTCCGTTACAACCCTAGCTACGACGAGACCTCTGTTTAAGATGTAACTTTATTCATCAGTCGGGTCTTCGTCTATGATTGTTTTAATGATCACTGGCTAGTTTTAATTTTAAGGCGGGAATACACATACCAGTAGGCTCATTTACCTGTCACCTCTAAGTATTTACCTGGCCCATGCTAGCGAAAGTATGACATGGAATGAAAGTAGCACGATATTAAAACGTAGTTCTTATGGACTGACATGCAAGTTACTGTACCATTTTACTGAAACGTGTATTCCCGCCCTCACGCATTTATTTTAGTTTTTCATTTCGTTGTACTGTCAACTATAATGTTTTCAGTCCTTAATTAACTTACAACTATTCTCGCTGACTGCGTAATTGTAATGAATTGTTTTCTCTTACTATAATGATTAATGTTCCTTTTTTTCTTTTATATTAAAATAAATAAATACTTATTTGTTGTTTTTTTTATACTTATCCTTTTTTATTTTAATCATTGAATTTGACTTCAATCTATACTATTATAATAAAGCGTAAACACACACTTCTTTGTTGCCTAAGATGTCAGCAATTACAGCATATTTTTGAATATTATTTTTTTAATATAAAGCCCCACACTTACGTCACGCTTTAGGCTATATATTTTCACGCCATTAAACTTAGGGGGTAAATATTTTGGATAACAAATAATGTGGGAAATAGACCTTAAGTTGCTGCCAACATCAAGGAGGCAAGATTACCAAGGTTTGTAATGTCATGTCATTTTGACATTTGCAATTAATAATTTGACAAATGTAAACAATGTAATAAAATTTTCATAATTTTATGTGGATGAAGCCGCACGGGAACAGCTAGTGCAGTAATAAAGCGTCCGCTATAAAAATATGGTCTCTGATTTGAAGGAATGTGATGAGGGGATCATTTTTTCGAATTTTTAAACAATTTATTTATGTGATCAGGTTCGCGCGACAATCTAATCCTTCTAATGACATTGACAGCTGTCAGTTAGAGATGTGACGTTTATGCCAATTATCTAGTGTTGCGCCAATTCTACAGTGCGGTAACAATTTTTGTCTTCTTAACTCTCGTCTTAACAGAATGAAATAAAAAGATGTACTGAAAAAAATACATACACCATCCTTATAAATATATTTTATTTAGTTGTAAAAAAATTGCGTTTACCCCTTTTAATACTTAATTCATACAATAAAATACAACATTTACTGCTGCACGCCTAAATATGATAATAGAAACATTAAGTGTAGAATAATTACTAGAAATATACACTGAAGGATTAAGGGGACCATTACAAGTCTCTGAGTACAGTTTGCTATTTATTTTTAAGTTATAACACACAGATTAGCGGTGAAAACTACAAGGGTTTTGCCTGATGAGGAAATAACGGGAAAGACCCGTATACGAGTAGAGAAGAGTAAATATGTTATTTCTGTGTGACCTCTCTCCTGGCCATTAAGGTAGGCATGTGGATGACTATGGGCCTTTCTGCTAATTTTGTGAATTAATATGGCCGCTTAGTTATTTATTATCTTATAGAAAACTAGCTGTTCCCGTGCGATTTCATCAGTATAAAATTATTTTATTGTTTACATGTGTCAAATTGTCAATAGCAAATGTCAAAATGACATGACATGGCAAAACTTGGCAATCTTGCTTCCTTGAGGTTAGCAGCAACTTATGGTCTCTTTCCCACATTAGGGTTTTTATCCAAAATATTTAGCCCCTAAGTTTAATGGCCTAAAAATATACAGCCTAAAGCGTGATGTAAGTGTAGGGCTTTTTATTAAGAAAAGAGTTATTCAAAAATATGCTGTAATTACTGACATCTTAGGCAACAAAGAAGTGTGTGTTTACGCTTTATTATAATAGTATAGATCTACGTTACATATTATATAAAATCTTATTTAAAAAATCCATAGATAATTAAATATTTAGATTCCATTGACGTCTTGACAAGTAAACATTTCTTAGAATCCTCGTACAAATTAAATTAACCCCTCCCTCGAGTTACGAATGCTATGAAGAAAAATCTTAGACTTTTATAAGACAGGACCTGTCAAAGGCAAACAGTCTCGTGTCAAATAAAAATAAACGCTTAATTGTAAATTTTCATACTAGTGTATTCTTTCCAAGTAATATTAAAAATTGAGTCAGAAACAGCATTGTCGACTTGTGTGACATCGACAAGATTTTAATGGTTCTTAGCTTAGTCCGTTCTTTTACGCTCAAAGAGAAAAACATACAGACAGGTCGGTATGCTAAGAACGATATTTGGCATATCGCTTCATCGATATGTTTGCTATTTAAAGCAGTAGGGCCAATGTTATTGGCTCACCACTGACCAATACGCACCCTTGATTAATAATGATACTTAACGTTGACATCGAATCTATTGAGTCGTCTTATATTAGAAACATACGTTTAAAACTTAATGTTAATTTATTTTATTTTATGATGCGTTTGAAATTGTCTTCCAGTAATAATCCTGTTGGTCGTAACAAGTCCCTATTATAGGTCACATGGTTATTATCTACACTAATATTATAAAGAGGAAAGATTTGTATTTTTATGTATCGGAATAACTCAAAAACTACTGGGTCGATTTCAAAAATTCTTACACCATTAAAAAGCTACGTTATCAGTGAGTAACATAGGCTACATTTTTTTTAATTTCTCGCGTACGAAATCGCGGGAAACAGCTAATAACAATCAAGTCTTCTGTTCGATATGTTTGTAATTAAAAGCTTTGTTATGTATAGAATAGAAGTTATTTCTTTATTATGTTATTCTAAAATTTAAATCTTTAGGAGTAGATACTGTAACTGCAAGTTAGCAACTTGCATTTGCTTATTATTTGAAATATTACGACTCCAATCCATTTCTTGTTCTGTAAACTTATACATCTCTAAGGTGGGCATTGCGTGACAGAAGGGGTCATACAAACTCATACATACATGCAAAAAAAATATACAGTCAACCGACGATCGACATTTAATAAAATTCCTTACATCAAATGATCCGTAAACCATCGAACGTTCTCGAATAAAATTAAGTCTAAATAGATACTATAAATGGAATGCACTCTTATGTACTTTTATTGCTTTTTTTCTGAGTCATTAGTGAAGTTATGTTAATTTTTAACTGACTTTATAATCTTAATAAAAATGCGAAAGTTCTGATGGATGTTTGTTAGATAGAATTTGTAGCCTAAAGCGCTGATCGAATATCGACGTAAACTCATAGATTTAGGGGATAGTCTGTAAGAACACACAGGCTACTCACTATTGTTTTTTTTTTAACTCAACGCGAAAGAAGTCGCGGGCGAAAGCTAGTATTTACATAATTAATTTAATACAATATAAATGTAGATATGGTAGTTAATTGTTTTCATAATTAAAATCACATTAACTATTCGATTAATAAAAAGTTTTAATACAAATTTCATTGATATATTAAAACGTTTTTAAAAGTACCTTAAATAAGGTACATAAATATATTAAATATTCAATTTCTATTTAAATAATATTTACCGTCGAACCCTAACGTAAATTTATTGCTAATTTATCCTACGTATTGGAAATATTCAATTTATTTATTCCCTTCCTTAATTCGAATACAGAAAAATTACTCGATTTCCATCCGTCGGGGAGTTTCCGTAAAACATTTACTAAAGCAAAGATAAATTTAAGAACTGTACCGTTTATTCATGACTTTCATTTGAATGGGAAACAACATTAAAATCTATCAATATTCATTTTTCAGTTATATTTGTCCTTTAGTTAATTAAATAATCATTTTAATTTTGTAATTAAATATTGTTTATTCAATAAAGCGCCAATAGCCTAATGGTTTGGGGTATGGACTACCGATCTTGCGGTCGAGGGTTCAAATCCCGCCATTCGATTATTGTCGTGAACCATATCCTAGCACAAGGTTAGAGCTTAGTTGGAATGGTAAAAGTTAAAAAAAAAATAATTCGTAGTATCATAATATGTATGTACTGTGTTCACCTCTTAACTAACAACCTCGTAACATTATACTAATATTATAAATGCGAAAGTTTTGATGGATGTTTGTTGCCAAAACGGTTGAACGGATCAGGATGGAATTTGGCATAGACATAGAATATAGAAGAAGACATAGGCTACTTAATTCTGTATGTTTTCACGGACAGAGTCGCGGGAAAAAACTAGTTAGTTATAATTTTTATTATTTTTTCAATTCCACGCGGACGAAGTCGCGAGCAACTGTCACATATAACGGTAAACTACGTTTGCATTATATTTGCAAATGGCGGCGATTGTCGATAGCTTACTTTGGAGCCTTTCCCCGCGACTGTAGATATGAGTGATCGAAGCAACAGCTACGAATGTCAGATACGATATCCAAGTTATATTTCATCTCTATATTCGGTTAGTTACAATTTATTATAAACACGTGTGACAACACTGAATAAGGTCAATAATTCATGTATATTTCTGAATATATAGTGGTCTTAAACTGTGGGAAATTAAATCTTTGTAATAATAATGATGTATTATTAAATAGCTTTAGCCTAAGACTTTGTCAGCGGGGAATTAAAAAACAACAAAACTAATAGCCTATCCAGCCTTACAAATAAACGCGGAATAAAATAAAAATACAAATAAACTGACTACAAGCAAAATTTGTACTAATCTTTGCTTATACTTAGTTTATTCCTAACTTATACCGCGTTTATTTCTAAGGTTGTATGTTCTTCCAGACTATCCTCTTCATCTATGCCGAATTTCATCGAAATCCGTTCAGCCATTTAGGCTACAAACTCTAACAAACATCCATACATACATCTAAACTTTCGCATTTATAAGTAAGATAGTATGATTACTTATTACACTTGGAAAAAGCAAAATAAAATCACTAACAGGAACTCTCATACTAAATCTAGTCAAAAGTAAAAGTGAAAAACTATGCACATATAATTCCAAAACCAAATAAGCGTCAATAGCCTAATGGTTTGGGGTACGGACTACTGATCTTGCGGTCGAGGGTTCTAATCCCGCCATTCGACTATTGCCTTGAACCATATCCTAGCACAAGCCTAGAGCTTAGTTGGAATGGTTAAAGGAAATATTAGTAAATTAACAAAAATCTACTGATATTTTAAAAAAGTACATTTTCCTATATAGTAATATTAAGGTAAGGAATGTCTGTATGTATAACTCGGCCATGTAGAGCTGCTACGACTACCACTACGCAAGGATAACAAGTAAAGCATGCAAATATTTAAAAGGGCCTTACAAGATGTTTCAAATACTTTATACATTGCAGGACATTAACTAAGTTAACAATTATTTCAATTAAATGATACATGAAATGTTAAATTTTATGTTTCCACTTGCGAAAAAATTCTAACAAAAACTTAATCAACTTTTAACATCAACTTGCGTTATGGAGG